AATTAGCTTTTTGTGGGTGGAGGTGGGAATCAGTTAGGACCTCTATATTAATAACATAGATCAGTGGCAGAGGTTGGATAATAGTATGTACCCACCATGTTCATCCCTCCAGCTCGTGGCATGCCCACCAAAGCTTCCTCGTCTCTGAATCAGGAAGTTGTTATTCTCGTTGTTTTTCTTAGATGTTCCACCACTGGGTCCTGAACTCTTGACGCCGTTCTCGGGCTTCTTCGTAGCACTGCTGCTTTTTGTCACCTGACCTTGATTCTTCCATCTTCTCATCACGTCGTCCTCATTCTCGAAACCCTTACCAGTGTAAGGGTCGTAGATCGAGCCAGAGTTGAAATCCAGTCCTCCGGTTGGTCGAGATGCAGGCATGCTGTTTGCCGTGGTGTTGTTGTTGGTGGTGGTGGTGGTGGGCACGTACATCTGATCGAACGAGTTGACATCCGTTTCAGAGTCGCAGCGTCTCAGTAGCGGATGCGACGGCTGGTAGAGGCCGCTCGACGTTGGCATGACGCTGTAGTTACTTCTCGTTCTGTACACGCCCCGTCCTAGCAGATCCTCTCCAGACGAGTCGGCGCAGGCGTCTGGGAATGAGCAAGTGCTGGCCTGGCTCCCGCCACGACACGAGTAAGGCAGGAACCGAGAACACGCCCTACCGTCCCCCGAAAAGCAGTTAGTCCGAGCACTCTGTCCATGGTCCACGAAAGCTCCGCTTTGAAATTTCATTTTTGGTTGGTGATAATATTTCAGCACCTATTAATTTCCGTGCTGTGTTAATCAACTACGTTCACGTTATTATTGCTATTAAGCAGTAACTGTTCTTGTAGATACTACTATAAGTTGTTGTTGCTAATAGCATAAAAAATATACTGTTGATCGATAGAAGTAGAAGCAGCCAAGGTTAAAACATCTCTGAAAATACGTATAGTAAAGAGTTGCCTAGAGTTCTTTCATCAGTCTGGATGACAGCAAGCAGGCTTTTGGTAGTCAGTCTCATCGAATTCGGCGAGGAATCGAACTCATAATTTAACTCCTAGAAAAAACAAAACGACATGAAGTCTTTGCCTGGTAGCCTTCAGCTGGCGAGGGAAGAGGCTCGCTTCAATGTCCCGATGTTAGTGAAGCAGTCACACTGTTGAAAAGTGAACATTGCATAGTAGATCTGTTAGTGTTAGCATTGCTACTACTTATCGAACACGGGTGCAATTTGAGAAGTTTGTATAGTGGGAAAAATATTGTAGCAGCTCTTAAAAAGATTCAGCATTCATTGTAAGAAGCGATAGTTGTCGGAGAGTCCCC